GCAAGTGGCGCAAAGTAGACCGAAACGCCGTCAACGCATCGGTCAATTGACTTTTGTGTGCGGTCGTCCGCGAGTGTAACTTGCGTAGGTTGCGTCTACCTTCGAACGCACGGGCCAAGACCTGCGCGGGCCATAAAGGTTTGGCTCATAAAGTTGCGAGACGCTCCGCAATCAATCAAGGCACTACAGGTTGCCTTTCCGATTTGAGTGCGGATATAGAGCAAAGGTGCGTCGGTTTCGACGTACCTTTGGGTGGCGTACTCGCGGTCAATCTTCGCAAGATAGGAGCGGAGATCGACAACCGCTACCCCGTCGTCCGTCAACGGAGCTGGTACTGTAGTGTGCAAATAGGAGCGTAGTCTTGCCATCAAGGCATTGCAATGCGGCCTTGGCAAGGTTCCGGTCAAGGGTAGAGGCATCCAAACGAAGTCCTCTCTCGTGAGCGGGTCAAGCTCCTCAAGTCTTGACCACGCCGTCGAGTCCTCGGAAATCAGTGGCGAACTGACCGGATCACTTGCCGACGGTGTACAGGCTGCGCATACGCAATCTACATGCACGTGGCTAGGCTGGTCTAATGGTGGTACCAGCTGGGCGGCATAATCCTCGTACGTGGCATGAGAATCAGCGACTAATGCATGCTCCCCGGTAGTGACATCGATTGCTAGCAAGGCAACCGGGTCCGGCAGAGTGAGGAGAGACGTCGCCCCTCTCCTTGCGTAACTCAGTTTCCCGAGTTTGCTGGATGGGGTACGCGTGCCTTGCCCTTTTCGGGGCATTGTGCGGTCACATGAGTGACGTCGTTGCACCAGAGGCAGTATCCGTACTTTTGACGAAAGTCATAGACATCCTTGGTTATCTTGTAAGCCGTCCATGAATGCTGCCCAGTTCCCGTCGATGTTGTCTCTTGTGTCGCCTTGTTCTTCCGAACTCTCTTGGGACGCTTCGGCCGGAGCGCTGCTACAATTCCTCCATCACTCGAGGATGTTGCTGCAGCGTGGAGATCGTCTGTTTCTTCAGAAATCACGACATTGTTATGTGCCGGACGTTGATAGCCCTGCTTAGCCACATAATGCGGCTGGGATTGTCGTTTGTTTGCGGCCTTGTCATCCGTTTGGATGACTAAGTTCGCACGATCCAAAATGGCCTGGAACGTGTCATCATCGTACTCGTTGCCGAGTGTCGACCGCAGTCCCGCGCACGATCGCGAGAAGAACTCGGATTGTTGATTTGGAAAACTCAAATCGAATCCTAGCGTGGTCACTATCTTCTGCCACTTGGTTGTCCAGTCTCGAGTTGGCATATTTCCTCGAGAGCAGGTGTACACCTCGTTCATGGCCGCCTTCACGACATTGCGGACCATGAACCGGGTGAACCATAGCTTCTCAAACTCTTTCCACGTGATGTGCGTGTGGACTTTGGCGATGGTGCATTTGTTGGTAGCCGCCAGATGGTTCATCCAAGCCTGCGCTCCTCCAATTAGTTGCAAGTAGAGTGCCTTCATCATGTCGTCTGCCAGGACAGTGCGGCATGATGCTTCCGTGAGGAAACGTTGCCACCATGTCAAGGCGTCCGACTTGTTGTAGTCGTCGAACTTGCTGATGTCGAAGTGCGGCATCTTGTAAGTCTTTGTAGCGGCGTCCAGTCTCGTCTGCAGCTTGGTGATGTCCGTCTTGATGGCGGCCACCGTGCTACTGATCGTGTCCGGCCCAGTGAAAACACCTATGTCGCCGATGATGGTGACGACGTGATCGATGCGCTCATTGAGTTGCTTCGGCGCGTCTGTCGTGCAGCCTGGCGCTGCTGAGGCGTTAGCCTCAATGCTATTGATGCGTGCGAGAGCGGAGTTCAACAGCTGATGCTGTTGCTGCTGCTGCGTTGCTTCGGCGTGGATGGCAGTTGTTAAAACAACAATGTCTTGCTGGTACTTTTGTCGCTGCTGTCGTTCCGTGCGCAGATGTGCCTGCAGCAGTGTGTTATTCCACATGATGCCTCTCATCATGCCCAGCATCAAGTTAGCCAGGTGAGTCCTCTCTGCCTCCGCCGGAGTCGGATCTGCCTGCGCGTCCGAAGGCACAAAGATCATGCCTTGGAGGAACGTTGTCCACTGACTTCCACTATGAATCAGGGACTCCGTACTGGCGGCATTCCGTTGGTCTCGTGCCGCTGCGTCAGCCTCAGCAGTCTGCTGAGCTTGGGCTGCCGCCTCATTGGCCAGCCGCTGACGTTCTGCCTCTGCTGCCTCCTGTTGAGCCTTGGCGGCAGCTACGGCATCTATAAATACCTGTAGCCGCCCAAAATAGTCAGCCAACGGCTCACTGGCCCTTCGGACCGGGCATGCGGGAAGAACTCCGGTGGTGTCTGGTACCGTCAATGTTGTACTCGATGCCGCTGGAGTCGTCCGCCTGCTGAGTCTCTGTTGCTGAGCCTTGGTTCGTGGAGGTACCGTAGGTCGAGCACGAACTGCAAGCCTGGCACTGCGCCATGGCAGTGCCCCGGTATTTTGTTCCATCGACATCAGTGTGGACTGATGCGGTACTTGAGAGGTCCCGGTGGTCACAGAATACGGGGAGGGTAGGGAGAGTGGGGACAGGGGTAGAACAATCAAACAATACGCATACCGTCCCCTGTCCCACTGATGGACTGTAGACACCTAATCAAACAGAAAAATAAATTTCCCGTAAACCATTCAAAAATTCGTAATAAGAAATTAATACGATTTAATCAATAAAATTAATTAATGATAAATAACGAAATACTCCTAATGATGATCAATAAAACAATGTTTGTAATAAAGATAACCAATAATCATTATTTGCAATAAAGATAATCAATAAACAATAATTGCAATCATGATACTAAACGAATTTGAAAGGTATTATGATTAGGTCTCTTTGAGATCACTTTGAGTCCGGGAGTTCACCGTTAATGAGTGAAC